TGGCCTTTGCATCAGGTGGTAGTGAATTCCACTCAGGTTTCCAAGTGCAAACTGTTCCAGGACCCTATGTTTCGTCAAGCCATAGGAATGAGTAACATTGAATCCCAGCTCCTCCATCTTAAAAAGTACATGAGGAGGAGGGGGGCAGCGCCTGTCATCACTATCACTTTTCCTAGAAGCAGTCTCCGATCAACAGACGGTGCATTAATTATCATATTTAATACTGTAGGTGCACCAGCACCACCCATGTGGCTCACTTGGTGCTTAGCTATGCACTCAAAAATCCCTTTTGCAGTTACATTTCTTAGACAAACATTGTGCCGCCCTGTGCTGCAACGGCCCAAGTAAGGCACCAGCCATTGCAATGGAACATCAGAACAGTACACAAATAAACAGGCATGGATGGCATTTCGTTTAAAAGAGCAGCTGCCAGAGAATTGAGGTAGGCTCCTCTGTGACTGTAGACAACACCTTTGGGGCTTTTGATGTTGTACCTGAAGTGTAATTCAAAGCAATAGGATCCCACTCATCATGTGGCCTTATAACCTCAAAGTCTGGTCTTCCTGATGCCAAGAAAGATTCGTACTCTAAATTGTCATTATTGAAATACATGTCACTAACCCTGGAAGATGAGCTAGCTTGGTCAGGAATCACAACTAATTTAGGCGTCTTGCTGCTTGTCTTTAGTAGAATTCCTAATGCCCCTTCTGCAATATGAAGTAACTGATAATCAACAAAAATGGCTTTTGCACCTGAGTGTTTTAGCAATGTCGACACCATTGCTGAATCATGACGTATATTGAGAGGGGAAAAAATTCCCCCCCCCGCCCCCGCCCCATCCCCTGCCCCGCCACCTGCAAAAAAAAAAAGTATATATATATAAATAAATATATATAATATGTAATTTAATTAGTTATAAACTTATGATAATGATATTATTAGTTAGATATATTATACAATATATATTAATGTATGCAATATAATTGATATTATCATTATATGAATAATTAGACATGTCTACTAATATAATTTATTAATTAGTTATACTAAATTTACTAATACATTTATACTAAATTTCTAATTACACTTAATAGAATAACACTTTTTTCTCGAAAAAAAGCACAAACACAATAATGAATCAGTGATTGTATTTGTTCAAAAAGTGAAAACTTGACTATTTTAGTTGTATTTATTTCATCATGTTGGATTGTATTCAAATAACTTTTGTTTGATTGTTTTTATGAGTTTCAATTGTAAAATTACAATGAATAATAACTTGATGATGTATTGATATTTTAGTATTTGATAATTTATTAAAATTTAACTATAATAAAATTTTATTAACCCCGCGACGACAATTTTATTAACCCCGCAGGTGGAAGCGGGGCGAGTGGGAGGCGGGGGGGGTCGGGGGGAATTAATAGGCAACGGGGCAGGGGGTGGGGGAGGGGTCCCCCGCTCCAACTCCGCCCCGTTGCCATCCCTAGACACACCACATCAGGTGGTTTAGACAAGAGAACACAGTCTTCTGTTGCATATGCACGCAAACTGTTTGACTTGTAATCCATGAAATACAGGGAAATCTAAGAAAGGAAAGAAAAGTTTTAAGGTTCTGAGGTAGTTCATGTTTTCAGCTCTGTGTATAACTTGACAATATTTTAGGGAGAAATGTGGAGGAGTCCATTCAATAGGCCATGGACAAGTTGAATTCAAAGTTTCAAGCTTTTCATAAAGCTCAAGCCCTCAGGTCTAGCTAATTCAGTGTACCTATATCTTAGGAAACTCAACCTTACTTTCAAATTTAAGCATGTGACAAGACTTGATTTAGAAGATCTTCTAGGCACTCAATGTTCTATAACAAAACGTTTACTTTTAGCCTCATCACAAACCAGCAGAAATATTTTCAGCCAGCAGAAGTATTACTTCCAGCTCATCAAGTCCTCTATCAGAATATCATTAACCAGCAGATGGAATTTCTGGTATACTTATCAAGAAAGGAACCTCATCATTGTACCATAACTGAACAGCAAGACATAGCTAGACTGCAGGATTCAAAGAACTTTGCCAAAACATTCCAATGGTTAAAGCACACAGATATTAGCACCAGAGATGCTTGAAGCTACATTCAAACTTGAAAAAGCACCTGAATTCAGATATCAAGATTAGACCTATTCAAATACAAAAGGTCAACATTTTTGTAGCGTACTTGCTAGGAAAGTAGTGTTCGACAAACTCTGTCGTAAATGGCTGCTGAGAAACCAAAATTGACCCTCAAATGCACAATTCCATAAGTTAGCAATTTCATAGTGATATCTTTACTATAATGCTCCAGACACTCAAAAGCTTCTTGATAGGTTAGCATGTCTTTTACAGGTTTCAAGTAATCTGGTTCCATTAGGTGCCAAATTCCCCTTCCCCCACCATATCCATGCGACCTTTCTTTTTTTTTTTTTAACAAAATAAAAAAGAAAAAGGTTGAAAGAATTTAGAGTTGGGTAACAGCAATAAATTGCATAATTAAACCTCCGACTACTACAAAGTCACTGAATTGAGGCATGAAAATGACCCACCAAAAAAATATATATAAGGGCAGTTGGTCCCTTGTGGGCTCATTGAAATGGAATCAATCTATAGTAATGATGTCAATGCATGTCTATTCAACAACCCGTGCAATGATTGATAGAGACAAAAAATACCCAGATGATATCATTCCAAACAAAGGCAGAAATCATTTTTAACATTCCAACTAGCTCCCAACAACCAAGTAATCAGAAGAAAATTACAATCCAAAAAAAAAAAGATTCAATCGTGATAATTAACCAACAACAGAACAAATTGAAGGACTTTTAATTACAGAACAAATTGAAGCATAGAAATTAAAGAAAACAAAACGAACTGGACAAGAAGAAAATGCAGGTAAATTGTGAATAACAAAGAAAGCCCAGAAAATTCAAGGATTAAATGGGAACTTACAACATCATGACGGGAGATTCCGAGGGAGTGAAGAGCAGAAGCGAGTCTGGCGCACCTGCCACGAGTTTCTGCCCAAGTGAACTTTAAATCGCCATACACTACTGAAATCCTGTCTCTGTATACAATTGCCGAACGCTCCAAGAAACTTATGGGCGTCAGAGGTACATAATTTGCTGAGCATTTGACAGTACCCTCCATTGATGATTCTATCCTTTTATCTGAAAATCCAAAAGAGCGCTTCTACTATCAACAGGAAAGTAGATAAGAGAGGTTGTTTTCCTGTTGAAACTTGGGCGATGGATTGTGCAGTATCGTTGAAGTATGCTACAAATAAATGGACCCTTCCTTGCGTGGGGTGTGAATTTACCGAATGAGGCCTTTGTTGACTCAGCTGCAAATTGAAGGTTGGCTATATGCTGCAGATGTGACAACTTGTCGGCAACAAGGTGTGGCTACGAATTGTTGGCAACTTCCAGGAAGTCTCCTCTTTAGAGTGTAGCTTTGCAAAAAGTGGAAAAATTTGGAAGCGCAAAAAGTTGTGTGGAAAAATTTCATTCCCGCAAGTTTTAGCCTCCTTGCTGCCCTTAGTTGCCAAAGTTGAACCATATCCTTCCTTGTCTCATCGCAGAAAGCATCCCCCCATCACCATTGCAGAACACTTTCATCCTAATTCCAATCCCAAGCGAGAAAAAATGGCTGATACTGCTGTTAGTGCTACTATTCAGGTTGCATTGCAGTCGGTTGTTTCCCTTGCCGCTGATCATGTTAATCTGGTTCGTGAATTCCCAACGGAGCTGGAGAGACTCAACAAATCTGCTGAAATGATTCGAGGCTTCTTGGCTGGTGCCGACGAGCAAATGCATAGCTCAGACGTGAAAATTTGGCTCAAGCAGCTGGAAGAAGAGGTTTTCAAAGCTGACAATGTGCTGGACGAGCTCAACTGTGAAAATCTTCGTCGGAAGGTGAAGTATCGAAATCAACTCACGAAAAAGAAGGTATTCTTCTGCTTTTCATTCTTTAATAAAATTGGTTTTCGTTGGAGGTTGGGTTCAATGATCAGGGAGATCAACACGAACCTTCAAAGGATCCATCGGGATGCAGAAGGTTTGGGACTGGCCTACAAGCACCAAGTTGAAGATGCATTCCCTACTATTGCTTCTGGAGCCACAACAAGCCGACAGACCGACTCTACTATCGTTCGAGGAGATGTCCTAGGAAGAGACGAGGATGAATCAGAAATAGTTAAGAAGTTGTTGACCGAATCTGAAAGTGTTATTTCAGTTATTCCCATAACTGGCATGGGTGGATTAGGCAAAACAACTCTAGCTAAAGCCGTTTACAAAAATGAACAAATTGTTGGACATTTTGACAAAAAAATTTGGGTTTGTGTGGCTGAAGAAGTAGATAAAATCGAGAAGGTCTTCAAAATGATTCTTGAATCGTTAACAGGAGGAAAGGTTGAAGGGGATCGTAGGGAGGTTATAGTTCAAAAAATTCAAGATGAACTCAAGGCAAAAAGATATTTCCTTGTTCTTGATGATTTGTGGAATGATCAAGAAGTATTGTTGAATGACTTTTTCAGCACTTTGGCGGGACTCAATGCGAAGAAAGGGAGCTGGTGTCTTGTTACCACTCGTCTGCAAGAAGTGGCAATTATTCTGTCTAGACATCCGCAGATCAATTTTACTCGCCATGAGCTAGGAAAGCTCTGCAATGATGATTGCTGGTCTATCATTAAAAAATGGGCAACTTTAGGGGAAGAAGTACCAAAAGAATTGGAAGACATGAGGCACCAAGTTTTAAGAAGATGTGACGGTCTACCTCTGGCAGCAAAGTTAATCGGAGGTTTGTTATCTAAAAGAGAAAAGAGGAGTGGCCATCTATTTTGGAGGAGAGTCTCTTGAATGGAGATCAGGGTGGGATCGAGCAAATAATTAAGGTGAGTTTTGATCATCTGTCACCTGTACCGGTTAAGAAATGTTTTGCATATTGCTCAATTTTCCACCAAGATACTAGATTGGAACAAGATCGACTAGTTGAGCTTTGGATGGCTGAAGGCTTTCTTCAACCGGATTCCCAAAATGAAAGAATGATGGAGAAAATAGGATATGAGTATTTGAGAATTTTGCTGCAAACTTCCTTATTGGAAGAAGTAAAAAATGAGTGGGGAACATGGTATAAAATGCATGACCTTGTGCATGATTTTGCAAAATCAATTTTGAATCGTAACGGTAGCAATCAGGACCGTTACCTTGCGGTATACTCACCCGAAAGAATCAATGAAAAAGCATCAGCATCACTTCGCACATTATTTCTGAAGGGTGGCATAGCTGATGATATGTTATCAAAGTTCAAACACTTACATGTCCTAAAATTGTTTGGAGCAGATGTCAAAGCGTTGCCGACCTCCATTGGCAAACTAATACATTTACACTTACTTGACATTTCAGGTTCTAGGATTAGAACTTTGCCAGAATCTCTTTGCAAACTTTATAGTTTGCAAACACTGAGAATTGGCATGCTTGTAGACGGTTTTCCAAAGGAGATGAGCAATTTGATTAGCATGAGACATCTTCACTATGATGATGATACAGGATGCGATGATGATGATGATGATGATGATGATGATGATGATGATGATGATGATACAGGACGTGAAATCCAAATGCCATCCGGGATTGGACGATGGACTTGTCTTCAAACGTTAGAGTTCTTTAACATAGGTCGTCAAGAGGAAGGTCGTGGTATCCAAGAACTTGGAACCTTGCAAGATCTTAGAGGCTCCTTGGAGATCAGAAATCTTGAATTAGTAAATGGCAAAGATGATGCTGAACTAGCGAACCTATCTAAAAAGCCAAATATGTATCGGTTGGTATTTGAGTGGGGCAATAGGGATCGAGAAAGTGATAATTGTGATGAAGATGTGTTGGAAGGCCTCCAACCTCACCCAAATTTAAAAGAGTTACAAATTTTGAAGTTCATGGGTGATCAGTTTCCACAATGGTTCATGAATTTGACATTGACATCACTGGTGGAGTTGCGGGTGGAGGAGTGCACAAGATGCAGAAAGCTCCCTGCGCTAGGACAGCTGCCATTCCTCAAGCGCCTCTATCTGACTAGATTGAAAAACACAACATGCATTGGGCTTTCATTCTACAGTACAAGTGCTGAGGAGGACGGCGGATCAGGAGGTTCAAGCACTATTAGCAGACAAACATTCTTTCCAGCCCTTAAAATTCTCTGGCTTAAAGGCATGAAAAATTTGGAAGAGTGGAAGGACGCACACGAAATGATGTCAACCGCAGGTGAAGTACATGTGATGGATGTGTTTCCCGTGCTGGAAAAGTTGTATATTTGGGGTTGCCCCCAGCTGACCACCATTCCAACTCCAAGTCGTTTCCCAAGTCTTGATGTATTGGAAATAAAAAGGAATTGCCATGTTTTGGTGGCAGAAAAGGTTTTGAGCAATATAACCAATCTCTCGTCCCTTGACTTAAGGGGTGACTTATGGGATCGTGGTGGTCAATGCATCAAGTCTCTAAAATTAGTGAAACGACCAGAGAGCAGCTTGAGTATTGATGGCTGTCACAGTCTACCCACTGCTATGCTTGAACGACTCTGTCTTTTTCCAACTCTTCAGCATGTAGAATTGATGTCTGCCCATAATATAACAACACTAAGAAGAATGAGTTGCGCCGCTTGTCTTAAGAGATTGACAGTCACTTTTTGTGAGAATTTACGGGAGTTGCCAGAAGATCTTTATCAATTTCAAACTTTAGAGGACTTGGAGATACAGGGTTGCTCGAGAATTAAATCATTTGGACATCCAAATCCTAAAAATTCATTTGGACAGAGAGGCCTCCTTAAGTCTCTTAAGCGATTTACTATCGATGAGTGCGATGAATTAACAAGATTACCAGCGGAGATGTTCGAGTCCTGTACGTCTCTCCGAAAGCTGACATTGTTCAAGTGCCGCAGTCTGGTCTCCTTTCCCCTTGATTTGCGACGAACCCCTTCTCTCAGAGCTTCTCGTTATGTGGGTGTCCCAACTGGATTGCTGAGATGCCTAGTGGATTTGGCCATCTTACCAGCTTAAGGGAAGTGTCGATTGGTCCCTTCTCAGATTACTCAGTAATCGAATTTGATTGGGCTGGATTAGCATCTTCATCAACACTCCGGCACGTGTATTTGTATGGGATGCGTGACACGAAATCTCTGCCACACCAGCTTCAATGCTTGACTACCATCACATCACTATCTCTACGTTACTTCGGAGCAATCGAGGCCTTACCAGATTGGCTTGGGAATTTTGCGTCTCTTGTGAGCTAATTCTGTTGGGTTGCCCAAAGCTTGAATATTTACCCTCCTTAGATGCCATGGAACGCCTCAAATTAAGACGTCTGGAAATTAGTTATTGTCCTCTATTAAAACGAAGATGCACTCCTCAAAGCGGCTCTGAGTGCCAAAGATCTCTAATATTCCAAAGCTTGAAATTTGATTAAAAGTCATCTTTTTGAGCCATCGGGTAAGATTTCACTGCAAATTTTTGATTAATTGCTTTTCATTATTGGATATTGCTGTTCTTCACCATCTTATTCTATCCGTATTCCTCTACTTCTTCTGGTGAAATTACTCTCTCTTTCAATTTATAAACTAATTCTTGTCATTAACAAAGTAGAGTTACGAGCAAATTGAAAGACAATGAAATTGTGGATTTCATCTACTTTTCTGAACCATCGAATGATTAATAAGCATGGTAAAATTCACTACTAAATGTGAACTTGGTACTGACTATTGTCCACGAAATTGACTGACATTGCAAGCGTAAACATTCAGCTTCAATGGGTATGTTCTTATTTTTTTTGTCACTGATATTTCCAAACAACATTAAAACCAATGAAACAGCAATTTGGGGAGAACGTTAAATTTTTTTTTACCGCTGGCATTTAATAGATGGATATGTTCTTAATATTCACTGTTTCTCTCTGTAAGACTCTGCATTATGTTTGCCATAAAATTAGCTCAATGTCGATCAAGTTGAAATTGTTTGCAGAGGAACTAGGCTGCTGCTAAAACTATAAATTCTTATCATCTTTTAAAATTTTTAAAATTCAGATCCATAACATTATGGCATTGTAGGCCACAAGTGTCAGTGAAGCAGAAGCAGTGATAGTGCCGAAAACATTGCGAAAGGCTCAAAAGTGTGCTCGAGGCAAAGTCAGCCTGGAACCTCTAAAGCATCTTATTGCACTTTTCACATTCTCCAACTGCAACATTAGGCTGTGGTTTCCAATCATTTTTGAAGAAAGATGAGGAGGTATGTGGTTTGGAAATTTCTCCACCCAACTTACTAGAAGTACAAGGGAATTGTCCAAGTTTGCAAGTATGTTTGAGTCATGTAATTGTGCCTAAATGTCGGGTGGTATCTGCACTAGTGTATTTTCTTTATGGGTTAATCAATGGAATTTAGCTTAATTTGTTGACTGTTTAGGATTTTGAGTGATAAATTGTTACCAGACCAAACCTTTCCGTGGCTCATGTTTCTATTAATGTCATAATTGAAGCAGCATTGTGACATAATATTATGATTTTTTTCCAGAATTTGTTTAGGAAGTAGAGATCATGCTTTTTGACAAGAACACCAAGGTTCTGTGTTGTTTTATGAGATGTCAAGAGGGAGGAGTTATTTTCACTTATCAGTCAGTTTTTGAAGATGGAAGGTAGTTATCTGTGATTTTTCCCACCAGAATGCCATATATTGCTCAGAATGTGAATGAAGGTAAAAATGTTGACTGCATGTCTATTGGCCTGTTTCAATGGTTTTCTTTTTTGTTTTTTTATCTTTTTCTGGAAGTATTAACAAAATAAATCAATATTGAACCTTTTCTCCTTGTAGCATGCTGAAAACAGAGTGGCTGTGCCAGGCTTGTAGAAAGTAGTATGGATTGAGAAGAATTAGAGAAGAGCATGGTAGTTGGTACTGGAGAGCTATCAAGGTACAAGACTTGCTTGAAGAAAACTGGACGTGTTAAATACTTTAGTTCCATAGGTGACAAGATTTGATGGAAAGAAGTTAGACATGTAGACAGCATTGGTGATCGTTTGGATGACATAAACGAAGCATGCATTGCAAGTGTCAGTCGTTCATTTGGATGGAATCAGTTCAAAGTTTTTGGTGCTGCAATTGCAGCGGCAAAAATTTCTACATTCTCGTTCAAAGGTTCCGCCAGATCTTGCAAGGCCTTTGTAAATTGGACAATAGGTTATACCTTTGCTCAAGAACAAGAGAGACTCATTATACAACTGTGCTAACAGTTAGTCATTCAGGTACAGGCTCAGTGTTGAATTGTTTTAGTAAAATAACGTACCCTAAGTACCTTCTTGGTTCTTAACTAAATTATTTTGACATGTCTACTTCAAGATATAGTCACAATCAAAAAAATTGCAGTTTGAATGATCAATAAACAGGTTTTGTTATTGTAGCATTCTATTTGTTATGTTTTAGCTAAGAAAGACTAGCAAATCTAAAAATAATTTAAAATTATTAAGAGCCACTTGGAATATGTAACATTCAGAAGGCTAACTGAAGTGGGAAATCAATGTAAATGTTCACATGAAGTTCTCCAACATGGTTTCACCTAATTACAGGTACTCTATCACAAGTATCTGCTTGTTAGGTTAAATGAGCATGTTTCAGCATGCTCATTCAATGGAAGTTGATTACTCTTAAGAACTGAAGGAGAAGGAAACAACTTGCCAACACTGAAAAGATATTGACATCCATTACCTATTTCTTTTTTGAAAACGGTTATTCTTTTCTGATTTTGTTTGGCCCAAAGATTTTAGTTGTCAGGAGAAATCAGTCGGCTAAAAGAAGTTAATAAGAGAATTTATGAATGCTAGTACACGAATATAAATTTTCATTTTTCTTCAGATTAGTTTGCAAACTCTAGTTAAGACGTCGTTTAGAAAGAGAGGAAAGATTATCTTACTCTTCTTTAACATTTAGTTAAACAATTTAGCTCTTGATCATCACTTCTTTTCAGAAAGAATCACAAGACAATTTATGCAAATTCAATTGACTTTTGCTCCATTACTTCCTTTGTTTGTTAATGCTCTGTTTTTTAGCCTTTCATTTTGTGGTATCTAGTGAGATTGGTGATTTTTTCCATCCACTTGCATAAGGACTTACTTGCTCATGATAAAATATTTATAGAAATATCTATTTAGCATTTTAGACAATGTTCATGGGCAATGTTGGAACATGTACAAAGCAGTGGTTTCAAGCAAAAATGTATGGATGTTGATGTGGTAGACAATTGTTCTCTTAAGGAGTGAAGATCAGTCTTCTAGAAAGCAATATGTGACAGAGTAAATGAAGAGGTATGTAGTCTCAGTGGATTAAATTTAACGGCCTACTTGTTTCTGTTGCTGTTGCCATACTTCAAATCAATCACATACAATAGCTATGCTCTGAATGTAATGTGCGTTTTTGATGCTTAATCGATGTAATTCTACTTAATTTTTGCTCTTAGAAATTTTTGTAATACATTTTCATAAGTTTTGATGGTTCAACGGCAATTTTGCACTTAATATTACTGTAATGTAACATGGTGATGTTTTTTTTCCTGAATCTATTTAGGAAGCAGACATCATCTTGTTGGAAAAGAAGCAACATGGTTCCCTGTCGTTTTTGTGAGAATGTCAAAAGGAAGAAATTACTGTCACTCGGCAGGCAGTTTCGCAGATGAAGATGGTCATCAATTATAGTTATTTTGCTCATTAATTTGCACTAGCATTGATGGAGGCTTCTCAACACCACGTAGAAAAACTGAAAGTGTTTATGTTCTGTAGTGCTCGGAATGCAGAAATGAAGGTAATATTTGACTAAACTTTTTGTTAGCCTGGTTCGATTTTTTTTCTTTATCTATCTACTGGAAATGTAATTTGGTTTAGAAGAAGAGAAGATTTGGGTGATGGAAGCTAGATGTTGAAGATAGCAGTAACATCATCTGGAAAGCAAAAGCAAAAGCAAAGCATGTAGTGGATGGAAGAAAATTCAAAGATTATGTGCTGCAAGAATATGTATTCACATGCAAGGTTCTAAGTCCTCGTTCAAAGGTTCAATGAAGCACTGCCGCTAGATCATGCAATGCCTTTCTGATTGGACAAGGACTATACTTTCACCCAAAAATAAGAGAGATTCATGATGCACTTGTGCTAACAGTTGATTATTCCGGCGTGTCCACCTAGCTAGGTGTTGAATTTGTCAAGGTAAACTAACATATATTACCATAATACCTTGTTGGGTTTTAACTTTTTTTTTTATTTGAATAGTAGAAAATTAGAAATTTTAACTTAAATAAGCAATAAATAGGTGCTTTCAAGTAGCTTTTTTTTTGTGCTTTAGCTAAGAAAGATAAGTAGACCTAAGAATTTTACCAAGAACTCTTTAAAATATTGACATCTGTGAAGACAATAGTAAATGTTACTCAAGGAAGTTTTTCAAGGTCCTTCATTCCACTTGATAGAGATATTGTGCCACAAGTCTATTCTGCTAGGTTAGATGAGCATTTTTTCAGCGTAGCCATTGAAATGAAGTTGGCAATTAACTCTTAACAAATTCAAGGAAGAAGGAAACTACTTGCCGACATTTATAGAATTGCGGCATTCTTTTGCTGCTTCTTTCTGAAAAAGGTTATCTTTTACTAGTCCATTTTTGTCCTAAATATTTAGTGTACTAGGAGAAATCGTTTGCTCAAAAGAAAGCACTTAGAGGCTAAATCCGTTGATTTTTGTTTTGAATTAATACATGAATATCAATCATGACTTTTTCTTGGGTTATTATGCCAAACTAGCTAAGATTAGAACCTCACTTTGTAAGCATAGGAAGGATTATCATCTCACTATTCTTCCGAGTTTTACATAGACATATAGCTTTCATTCTCATGCTTCTATTAACATTGACAATATGCAAATTTTATTGCCCTCGCTAATTTTTGAATTCCATTTTTGGTTCATCTATGTAATTATTTGGAATGATCATCTTTCCATTACCAATTGTTAACAGTGTTCTTTGTTCATTGTCAACTCTTTATCCAATATCTGTATCAATATTGAAGACAGTCAGTGTCTAATAGGCTTTGTTGGAACATGTAGGAAGCAGCAGCTTTCGAGTTAATAGGCTTTGTTGGATGTCTTTCACAGACATATGGAAGTGCTCGACCTTTCATGTATTTTGCAGGTTTCTTCTGATCTGATTTGCTTGAGACAGGGAATACATATGAAGGAACCATTTAGCTGGCATGGCTGAGACCTGTAGCCAATTTGGTTGATCTTGGTTCCAGTTTAAGCTGTCTGGATTGCTCTTTGTCAATCTCATGAATATGGATCTCATATCAATGGAAGCATTGAAAGTATGAAGATGAGACGGCAAGAATACCGGTAGCTAGCTGTTGGATTGTAGGCATGTAAAAAGTCTTTACTATACTAAATTGTCACCCAGATAGCTGGCTAGAATGCATATATATATTACTCTAGCTTGGCCTGCAGAGAGATAAGATTTGAGGTTTTAATGTGATCTAGAGCTTTCAGCTTTTGAACTACTTAATTGACCATGCTTTGGGGAGTTTGATTTAGGTTTCAACCAACCCGAGTTCATAAAATAGGGCTAAATAAGTTTGAATTTTACAAGACTTGCCTCAAATGACTTCAAAAGCTCGCTGAAAATTTCTCCTTCCTCATTTCGTCAACCAAATCCTGACCGGTCCTCTTCCGGCTGTCCAAGGCATTTGGTTTTCTTTAGGGATGTTCATAAACCTCCCGGAGGTTTCTAACAATTTTACTAGCCTCTCTAAAGTTTTTAAAATTACACAAACCTCTCTTGAGATTAAAGTTTAATAACAAATTAATCAATTTAGAAAAAGTAACATTAAAAAAGTACTTTAAGGAGAGAGATGAAACTTTGATTTTATAAATATTTCCTTATGCATGTAATAAGTTGTAATAGTAAAAGAATAAAAATAATTAAAAATTAGAAACAATTAATACATATTTTACCAATCAAAAGTTCACATTTAATGAACTAACAATATAAATAAGCAACAAAATTATACTAATGATCACAAGATTCAACAAAACAAACTAGTCATCTCTTTTAGAATGATGTTTGCTATGATTTTGTGATTTTAAATAGAAAAATTTTCAAAATTTGCCTTTCTTTTTCCTCCATTCTATGTTGCTATGAAGGGAAAGAAAGGCAAAATTTGAATTTTTTTAATTTAAAATCACAAAAATCCCCACCAAGGAAAGTCGCATCATTTTATTTCTGACTATTAAGGAAAAAAACCCCACCAAGGAGGCTCAGATATAAATTCAAAGCCAATCTTAATCTAAAAGGTCCACAGATTTATGCATCATGCACTATTTAGATCTATATGTTAAGACACTATTTCTACCCCTTTCAAACCAATACGACACACTTAAGCCTGCTCATGAACCTAATCCAGCCAAAGTATACATCTTCCGCTTTCATGTTCTGGAGAGGGAAGGAACCAGACTGTTGATAGGGCTCTTCATCATTCCCTGATGTTGTGAGATATTGGCAGCCAACTTTATAAAGAAATCGTTCATTATACCATCTCCAAAGTGAGCTTGAAAGATGGGTTCACAAATAGCACTCAATCCTAGCCCTGTACTTGGCATTGGTGTTTGTATTGAAAACGTAGCCCTTCCCGCAATCTGTCGCCTCCGCACCAATCACTCGCAGTTGAATGGTGTCCAGATACCTTATCTTAAGAGCACGATTTTTCTCAATGATGGTTTTACTCCTCCAAAGAAGGCCGGTAATGTGGAAGGTTGAAGTATCGAGTGCCTTTTCCTCAATCAGTCCCTGTACAGTTTACCCAGATGGGATCATATTTCACCACACATTGTATCGAGATTGAGTGTGTATGAATCATTACCTCTGAAACCATGTCATTCATTGTCATCCAAGTAAGTCCTGAACGTTATATGCTACGGGACCATCGATTTTAGTCGCCAAGGTCACAAATAAGTGTTCCCCAGACACCTATTCATCAGCACGGACACTTAAGAAGTTTGTAAAATCTCTGTCAAATTGATCCAAATATGCATCATGCACACTCTTAGGACTTGTTTTACCTATGTAAATATTGCCTTTGTTCAGTGGCAACCCTTCCTAAGTCACCAACCCACTCGGGACCTGCAGCAGAGAGGTAGAGAAATACATGATAAGTATCATGTTTTGGGGCTTGGCATTGTTTTCATATTCTTTTGGTATACTTGTAGAATTCATTATGTTTGAGGCTAAGACTTGAATATTAATTTTCTAATTGACACCAAGGAATCAGTTTGATTTGCTGAACAACATTAAAGGACGTAAAAAATATGTGATGGCTAGTTTGGAAACTAAATCCAAACCTTTTCAAAGAGTTCAAAGATAATTTACCACAAAGGTTACATATTAGGATTCAAGTAGCATCACAAGTACTCTGAAAGTAAGATACAGACAAGTATAAGGACACAAATGTTTAATCGAACAGGAAAAAAAAACAGCAAAACTATTGCAAAAACTATTACAGATAGTAATAATGTAAAAATTATATCAGGCAGTCAGGGGTTTAGATAGATAGTAATGAAAATTAAGATAGTGAGGGTCCGTAAATACCAACATAGCAATGCGTGTTAATAACAACAAAGCAGGAGATTGGCGAACCTGAGAAAGCCAATGAAGGCTGTAAGAAGAGTGTATAAAATGCATGGAGTTGTCAGGAAAAAGTCTTCCATAAAAGAGCCGGCATAGCTGCAATGAAGCATGACCTTGAACCACGTCCATATGATTCCTCAAGTTTTTGATAAAAACTAGGCAATAATTTGAAAATGGAGTTGAAATCATTGGACATGAGATCATTAAGAAAACTTGAATATTAGGTAGCTTAAGAATATTCAGGTTATGGCATTCTCTATTAATGCTATCTATAATGCTTTCAACTGTTAACAACGTATTCGGTCGGGCAAATTCCATTTTACTCCCCTGTGGTTTAACGTTTTTTACATAACCCTCCCATTGTTTCAAAAGCTATACATAACCCCATATGGTTTGGATTAAAGTGTCAAAGTGACAGGAATGACCATTCGTAATGGAGCACCTAAAATGTCAAAAATACCCTTATATAAAGTTAAAAATTATTTATTAATCAAGGGGGTTATGTGTATATTTTGAAAACCATAAGGGGGTTATATAGTAAAATTTAAAAATCATACGGGGTTAATGTGTCATGTATTTATTAGGGTAATTTCGACATTTTTAGAAGTTTCGTTACGAGTGACTATTTCTGTCAGTGATTCTTTAATCCAAACCATGAGGGAGTTTGACACTTTAATCCAAACCATGAGGGAGTTATGTATAACTTTTGAAACCATATGGGGTTATGTAAAAAATGCTAAACCACAGGGGAGTAAAATGTAATTTGCCCTACTCGGTCCCGATGCACATCCCAGATCTGCTACTCTTATGCACTCTGCCTCTGCTAGGCTGGCTTGACAAAACCCTGAATGCTCCGATTGAGTGCATGGTTGACATTCATAAACACTGATCTCCAAAGGGTAGAAACTGATTTAGAGATCAGTCACACAATTATATATAGAGGGCCGGAGAGAATCATTCAGACTTTATCTGATATTTATCACTTACTTGAAATGTTGAATTTTTGG